GGGAGTGAGGTAGTTTGAAATAAAAAATAATAATAATGTATGGCCATATAAGGAATTACTCTACCTGTCTTCTGTGTCTTTTTTCTTATAATATATTAATGTACTCATCTTTATTTACTAGAAGTTCTCTCATAAGGTTTGGCCCTTTTTCAATTTAAGAGAACTTTAAAAAGGTAATGCTTAGAAAATTCATTCATGCAAATAATATGCTTTGATAAAATCCACAACCTGCTAACTTCTCACCAATTCCTGCCATTTCTCCCTATCACTCCACCCTACCAACATTATGCACTTCTTGTGTTTGTCATCTTATTAAAATTTCCTCCACTTATTTGAGTTTTTATCATCAGAGAGAATGCATTGGCAAAAGGAATCTGATGGTTTTGTTTGAGAATTTCACTTAGGCTATTCTGACTTTACTGCGAACTTACTAAAGTACCTTTACAATCACCCAGCAGTTAGAGAAAAATTTGTTCATTTAAAATTGATTCACAATTAATATACATTGGCAATGTGAGAATGCCTAATGCTACTCTTTTTAAACACTGAATCCATTCACCGCTGCCAGGATATGCTTGGGTACAGGGTCATCCACTGGAACTCTGGCACCCTGTCAGGGTTTGTATTCCTGAAGAAAATTAACAGTCTCCCCTCCCTAGCAGTCATCAGTGGCTACTAATGCCTTAGCTAGGGTGAGACCTTGTGAGCCCCTCCTCAACAAATGCTGGGCTTTGGTCAGGCTTGAGTTTGTGCAGCTCTTGTATTTAGTCACAGTCCCCATGAGTACATATGTGTCTAAGCCTTTCTTTGTCTTCTAAATTTTCATTTGTTTGTTTTAAGACAAGATCTCCTACATCTCAGACTGGCCTCAAGCTTGCTCTGTAGCTCCAGTTGTCGCCAGCTTCCTGTTGCTCCTGCCTCTTTATCTCAAGTCCTGGGATTATAGCCATAAACCACCATGGATGGGGTTCAGTCTCCAAGGAAACACTTTACCTATAGCATTCTGTTAAAATGTGTGACGTGTTCAATTGTTTGTAACGGCTTATTTTTTAGCATGTCATGATGACAGTCTTTCTTTGGCCATACAAACTCATTTCTATCACTTTTGTTATAAACAGTTCTACATCTTCTGGGCTTCCTCTAGTCAAGTTCCTATTGTACATTTGGTTTAATTTTCTTGGGAAAAATACCGTTCTAATATCTTTGTGTATGTCTTCTCCTGTCAATTCCCATCTATAAATGTATAGCCCACTATTTACAAATTTATTACATTCATATATGTTGTATATATACACATTCAGATTAGTGTGTATCGTACATTGTTTTACATGCTGTGAGTACAGCAGAGAATAAAATGTTATTCCTTACCCTCAGCTGCTTTATTTCTTAGGATGCATTCCTGGAAAAAAAGATTGCCAAGTCAGTATTTAAATGGCTTTCTATACATCTTAATTTACAACATTGTCATGTAAATTGATGACAACTGATAGTCTATCAGAAATGAGTTGAGTTACCCAAACAATTGTTCTTCAGCATTTGTCTTATTTTCCTCTGATTAAATGATTACTAGTGTGCTACCTCCAAGTTCACCAAGTACAGTGGGTCTCTAGACTATTATCAATCTTATCCAGTGAAACTTTATTTTAGATGTTGAGACGTTCTGTCTAAAATGTTCTTTGTTGAGAAGGTTTCTATTTCTTACATGCACTATCAAAGCCATGCTTAGTGCCATCCTATAACAGCCTTGAGTAGGGCTATCATACATTGTTTAACACTTGCTCTATAAATTTGAACTTCTGGCTCACTTGAGAATCACTTTCTACTAAGTGAATATCAATCAATCAATCGTGTTTTACTAATGTTTAAATAGGTGTTGGGCTAGATACTGGCCATCACAATGATATTTTGAGTAACCAGAGACTCTTTCATGATCTTCAAAATCATGTTTCCCCTCTGGATTCTGTCTATTTGGATTTTTTGTCTTGTGTCTTCACATAGTCTGTGTGTTTTGTAGAATCTTAGCTGTTGTTTCATGGACAGTTGCTCTCCTAGAAGCCATATACCATAATCAAAAGCATACCTTTCTATAAGGTGACTGTTGAAGACTTTTCTCTGAGATTTAATTTACAGATAATTCACTATTATAACATACAAATTATTTAACTTTTGCTTAATTTTATTATCCTTTAGATATATCCTATAAGTAAATGTGGATTTTTCCTTCATATTGTAAAAAAAATGTTTTATTTTTAATTACATATACACATTGTGTTTATATGTGGATATGTGCACATGTGAGTGCAGATGCTTATGAAGGCCAGTAGAGAGTGTTTGAGCGCCAGGAGCTAGAGTCAAAAAGGGATTTAATTTGCCTGATATGAGTGTTGGAACCTGAATTCAGATTCTCTACAAGAATGGGAAGCACTCATAACTGCTGAACCATCGCTCTAGCCTTCCTTTCTCACTTTTAAGCTATCAGTGTATCTATAACAACCCAAAGATTTTCTTCCTTGTGAAATTCAAATATTAAGAAAATAGTGAATTTATGTAAAGAAATAAGGAAATTGAATATTTTAAATGTGTAATCAAGGAAAACATAACTGACAAAACCCATAGATTATTCACCAATTTTGTGAGGATTTTTTTTATCAGTATTGTGATTTTCAACCCAGGTCCTCTCCATGCTAGGCAAGTGCTCCAACACTGAACCATGCCCTCAGGTTCCTCAGTGTCCTAGAACCTAAAATCAAAAAATTCAATGGTAAACGTTTTCATTTTCAATTTCTTAAATTTTCTCTGGTAAGTATGAATTGTATATATCATTGGTATTCAGCATCACTGAAAATACACATGTGCTTTGTCATCTCATTTCTGGTTTAAATTTCTATGCTTTGTGTATTGACTTGCAATTGCTCACATTTATATTAAAAATAATAATATTGTCATGATAATTCTTTCCTTGATTTTGGCTAAAAGAAAGAGAAATAGAACTATGTTACACTTAAGAAGAAAAGCTATTTCTCATAATAAAGGTAATGAAGACACAAGCACACTGATAGCTTGGAATGAGGAAAAAACGTTTGCGGGTGTCTCTTCCTTTGGAGGACAACATCCGATAAAATAAGCCATTACCCCTTTGCGCTTAGGGTGGAGAAAACTTAACACTTCTTATTAACATTTTCTTTTAATCAGTAGAATCATTAGCCACTCAATCATCTCTGTGTTGCCTGCCCTTCAGAATCCTAACCCCAGACTCCTTGTGATGCCTCACTAACTTCTATTGCTTTTGGAAGGAGTTCTGTGTTCATAATTGACAGGAATTCTCTCGGAGAATTAAAACTATAAATAGATGTTTAAAAATTTTACACTAAGACAGAAATATCAGATGGAAGGCATCAATGGTAATCCCTACCTATATTTCTTGGCACCTCATTTCCATTTCGGAACCAGCTTAAATAAACATCTTGTCCTGATACTAAAATAGTATTCATTCATGATACTTCTAATGAGGCATGGTAACTATTTAGGTAGTTTCAGATTCATGAGGTATACTACATCTGTTCAAAATTATCATCAAGAAAAGAATAAATATAATTCCTCCTGGAGTCTGCTAATACACTATCGACAGTGAGTGATGGGAAGTATTGATACTGGTTCCTGGTAATGACCTATAAACTTGGAGATGAGGAGAAACTTTTGCACTGACATTAATCCACAATACAAGGAGGAACTTCCTTTTATGTCCATATATGCATGTCCCCAAAGTCTGTCTGTACTGATTTTTATCCTAAGTGAGTTGAATTCGAATAAATAAATATAACCCACCATTAACATAGTTCAAATAAACTCCCAGAACATACCACACGCTAGATGACTGATGAGCAATAGAAAATTATTTCTTCCGTGTTTGAAAACTGAGAATTTAAAGATCACACACTCAGAATCTGATGAAGACTGGTTTCTATTTCCAAGATGGCTGCCATCTTCTGACTGGAACACAATTGTGACCTCAATGGAGGGAAGAGAGAGGGACAAAAGAACTTTTCTCAGAACTTTATTTTAAGCAGTACTTCATCATGCCCAAGGCATCTGCTAATTTCATCACATGGATATAGTCAGCTAACATGTTCACACTGGAGGATTCATTCTGACCACAGCAGTCTAGAAACAGTCAGCTGAGTGTCACTCTTTCTACAGATCTAGGTGTCATTTCCTGGGGAATCTATCAAATATTAACCCATGAATGTAAAAGCATAATGTGTGCTGTCCTTGTATGACTTTATAATGAGACATTCACAACTTAGAAGACAAACCAGGTGCTGTGTCCTGTTGGTTTTCAGCACGTGTGTCTGTCTGGCTCATCCAAAGGATTCCATTTAATTTAAACTTAAAATGCATGTGCTTGATGGCATAGATGATGGAAAGGGAGAAAGAATTGCTTTTGAATCGCTTACTGGAACTACCATGTTATATAAAGGCAAGAAAAATATGTAAAGACTCTGTGAAACTAAAATACTTAAAATAGCAAGTGTGAACTAGATAGGTTAGAAATGAGTATTGCTACATAAAAATTGATATATTAATACATGAAATACATGGTAAAGTAAATTATTAATCATACACAAACAGAATGTTATTCAATAGGTAGCTAATGAATAAATATCTAAAGGAAACAAAATTTATGATGTCAACATTATTTGCCATGCATTCAGTTAAATAGAAGAGAAACGGGAAATATATGGAAGAAACAAATTAACAGAAAGAAAATTGAGCTTGTCACTGTGTTAGGCAATGGAAAATAAGGCATTTTATAGCCCGAAGCATTCGTAAGTACTGAAAATTAGCTGTAAAAAACAGAACATGATCAGACTTAATGTGAAATTATATTAATGGGAAAAACACTGCTAGTAAATAAATATGTAAAATATTTAAATTCGCTTGAATTACAAAACGTAAATTGAAGTTACATTGAATATTTTTAGTCCTAAAATGTATAGCGATTAAAAATAATAACTTGACAGATACAACCCCAAGAAAGACAGGGTCCTGCCCGACACCGGCGGCACGCGGGCCGAACCTGCGGCCGGGGATTGGCGCGCACTAGGCCACCGGGCGCCCGGAGCCCGCGGCGCAGCACCAGTATTGTCTAAGTGCCAGGAGGAGGCCACCGTGTCAGCAAGCTGAGAGGGAAACTGAGGCAAGATGTCAGGCCGGAGCGGGAAGAAGAAAATGTCCAAGCTGTCCCGGTCAGCCAGGGCCGGCGTCATCTTTCCAGTAGGTCGGTTGATGCGTTACCTGAAAAAAGGGACATTCAAGTACCGGATCAGTGTCGGCGCACCCGTCTACATGGCTGCGGTCATTGAATACCTGGCAGCGGAAATCCTCGAGTTGGCTGGGAATGCCGCAAGGGACAATAAGAAGGCCCGGATAGCCCCCAGACACATCCTGCTGGCCGTTGCCAATGATGAGGAGCTCAACCAGCTGCTGAAAGGAGTGACCATCGCCAGTGGGGGTGTCCTGCCGAGAATTCACCCTGAACTGCTGGCCAAAAAGCGAGGGACCAAAGGGAAGTCAGAAACGATCCTCTCCCCACCCCCAGAGAAAAGAGGAAGGAAGGCCGCCTCAGGCAAGAAGGGGGATAAGAAATCCAAGGCCACCAAGCCACGGACGTCCAAGAAGTCCAAACCAAAGGACGGCGATAAAGAAGGAACATCAAATTCCACCTCGGAAGATGGGCCGGGGGACGGTTTCACCATCCTGTCTTCCAAGAGCCTCGTTCTGGGGCAGAAGCTATCCCTGACCCAAAGTGACATCAGCCATATTGGCTCCATGAGGGTGGAGGGCATCGTCCACCCAACCACAGCCGAAATCGACCTCAAGGAAGAGATAGGAAAAGCCTTGGAAAAGGCTGGGGGTAAAGAGTTCTTGGAAACAGTAAAGGAGCTTCGCAAATCCCAAGGCCCTTTGGAAGTTGCTGAAGCTGCCGTCAGCCAATCCAGTGGACTCGCAGCCAAATTTGTCATCCACTGTCACATCCCCCAGTGGGGCTCCGACAAATGTGAAGAACAGCTGGAAGAGACCATCAAGAACTGCCTGTCGGCAGCAGAGGACAAGAAGCTGAAGTCCGTCGCCTTCCCGCCTTTCCCTAGCGGCAGAAACTGCTTTCCCAAACAGACCGCCGCCCAGGTGACCCTCAAGGCCATCTCTGCCCACTTCGATGACTCGAGCTCGTCCTCGTTGAAGAACGTGTATTTCCTGCTCTTCGACAGCGAGAGCATCGGCATCTACGTACAGGAGATGGCCAAGCTGGACACCAAGTAGCTCTCCAGCGGGGACGGAGGAGGACCAGTGTCACGTCACAAGAGTGGGGGTTTTATTTTTTAAAAGGATTGAGAAAGGGTGACATGGCATGGGAGCAGAGGGTGGCTGAGAAGGTAGCAAAGGCCGTGGGAACAGGTCCTGCCTGCCTGGGGAAGGGGCCCAGCGCATTTTATATTCTCTTTACAAAGGGCCTCTCCCGAAATTAACCAGGTCTCCGCCAGGGGTTTCTTTCCATGTGTTTTCTTCCTGTTGTTTTAGAACTTTTTTTAAAAAAACAAACAAACATAAAAATAGACCTTGTTTAGATTTATAGCACTGACTTTTACTCTCTCTCTCTCTCTCTCTCTCTCTCTCTCTCTCTCTCTCTCTCTCTCTCTCTCTTTTCACACACACACACAAGTCTTTTCAAAAGGTCTTAAGACTTTGGTTCCTCCTTTTTCCAAGTGAAGAGGGTATGACGGCCACTTGGGTGTATTGGCTGTCTCCCTCAGTGAAGAGAAGATGGGAAAGACGTTCTAGGGTGCTTTTCTCTTCTGTTATAGGGTCCCCTCCCTGACCCCTAAAATATTTGTAACTACACCTAAAAGGATTTTTGCCTCGGGATCTTTCTTTGTTCAGTTTTGTTTTTTAAAGAAAAAGAAAAATGAAAGGAAAAAAAAAAAAAAGAAAAAATAATAACTTTATATTATTAAATGCCTTTTGATTGGTAAAAATTGAAATTAATTGTAAATGTGTATTAGAAAGCATGTCCTTGATAAAATTATGCCATACATATTTCCTTGACATTTAATAAAACAATCCAAAACTTGAGGAAAATACATCATAGGTTATTTGTTTCAGTCCTTTTAAAAAGCTGACATATTCCATAATACCTTGATATAGAAATACTTAAATCATTTACATTACATATATGCAGAATCTTATGCGTCTATAATGGCACAAATAACCACAGAAAGTGATTAGTTATATTGTAAAGTGTAAAATTCCCATAAAATGTGAGAAACAATGAGTATAGCTGTATAAGTGGATGTGCAAAACAAAAATGAAAATGAATATATTTCAAAATCTTAAGATGAGTTGCATTGTGAAAGTTGATCAATAATTTTCTTAGTTTTATTTTTCTCCAATTTACTATTATTGGATGATCCTTTTAAATATCTTAGAGGTTAAAGTATCATAAAAAAGAAGTAAAGTTTCTAATAACATAAAATATTCTCCAGTCTATGTTTTAGTCAATATTCCTATCAGTTTAGTTCGTAACTGTTTTTTTTTCTTATAAAGACAGATTATTCAGCAAGCAACAAGGATGAGGGTTATTCTGCTTCTGGGTTTCTGTAGTTCTTAAGTTATAAGTAGCATCTATGTTATATTTATACAGCATTTATAAATTGGAACATTTTAAGGCAAAATAATTCTAACACTGCATTTTGATAACAAATTTATACTACAATTGAGTAGAAACCATCAATACTTTTGACAAATATTTTATTTTTATAAATATCATTTTGTTGTTCTTGCTCAGGCAATTCTTTGTTTGAAAAAAAGTTGTCTCCTGACTCAGTAGGGGTATAATATGTGCATGACCAGAGCCTACCAAAGGCAATAAACATAACCTACCACATGCCTCCACAATCACTCTACATAATGATTTGTCTTGTATTGTATGAGACTACATACAGAGTTCAATGAAAAATGGATTTTGAAAAATGGCTCTCATTGGCTGGATTTCTCAGTGCATCAGCAGCAGAATGTGCCTATATTTCATTGCCATAACTTGAGATGTTTATCTTGTGGTATGCAAGTAAAAATTTAATACTCAGTGTTTATCACAATCATTAATGAATTAATTTACTGTATAGACTTTTCATTCCTTTTGAGATAAAGTGTGTGTCTTGATTGACCTCTGCTGTCCTTCAGTCCTATTACATTTGAGAATCTCACAGATGCCATTTAAAGTAAATATGGTACTCTCCATCTCAAGATTTAATAAATTTTATTCTAAATATCAAATAATTGTTTTAAAATTTATGATTGGAACAGATTAAAAATGCTAATTTTTACTTTGTGTGTTAGTTATATATTAAAATATTTTTAACTGATATACAGGAGGTCTTCTTTAATTAGAGGCTGAGTTCTACAAGAAAGCTCCAATACTTAGTGCCACTTGGAATGTTTTATCAGTGTAGTGTTTTGTTACTTACAGTACTCTTAACACTAATTTCCTGTAGTTTTAAAATATAATCAGTTTTTATATTTGCTAGTGAACATCTTTATTTTCCAAAGATGACGAACTCTGATGTATATCTCCAAGCTTTCCTATAATTTTAATAACTTTTTAAAAACAAGTTCTATTTGGAAGATTTCAGTCAGAAAAGTTAACCAAAGCCACAGCATTAAAGAAAACCACTTTTACCACTACTAGCTTAATTAAAACTGAGATCACTTGCTAGTAACAAACATATTTACACTGATTGGAACTTTCTAAACCACTTTTAGCTGATTTTCTAATTATATCTAATCCTTAAATAGCACAACTGCATCATGAAGAAAGGTTTACTGCCTATAACAGTAGAGGGCATGATGTGTTGATGTCCAATCAAGAGGCAGAGAGTTAGGAAAGTCTTTGTGAATTGAGACACTCCTCTTTATTCTGTTCCCAGGACTCTCAATTATAGGCAGAGCAGTATTCCCTAAGTAACAGTAATTGATTTAATAGTAGATAACCTAAAGCACAATAAGATGCTAATGAGTTTTGAAAGCATCATAAGCTAAAAGTGGTGATCAGGTTTTTATATTGTGTTCACTTTAACAACAACAACAACAATAATAATAATAATCTTTGATTGGATGATGGCTCATAACATTTAATCAATAGAAATAGGTTATTCCAAATAAATTAGGTTTCAAATTATATGCTATTAATATGAATAACATAAGCTTTTGAAAATGACATGTATTTATATAATTATTTTGTGTGCATGTATGTGGGTAAGGGTGGAAGCATGTGCTGCTGGTGCATATGTGGAGGTCAGAAGATAGATTGCTGAGTCAATTCTTTCTTTCTACTATGTATGTTCAAAGGATCGAACTCAGGTTGTTAGGTTAGGTAGATACAAGCACCAATAACTTGTATCTAAATATAGCTTAGGTAAAATATTCACCCTTGAATTATGTGCCCATATGTATTTTGTTTTAACTCCTGAAGGAATTATTAAGTGTCTTAGGAGTATTTCAGGGGTGCAATGTTCCAATTAAAATCAGGGCTCAGAGGTTAACCTCTATGTCATTTGAATGTGAACTATTGTTGGTTCACAGTTTACAAGACATGTGCAAAGGCGGGGTTTTCATGATGTAGTCGTTAATTAACTGCTCTGCCTGGAAACTTTCCGTTATCAGGAAAGAAGGCTGCATTTCAAACCAGCTACACAATTTTGGTGTTTGTATTCAGTATTTGCATGCAGAATGATTTTGAGATGAAAATTGAAGGCTTCTAATTTTGTGCTGAATGACAGCTATGTATTTCCATAAATGTATGAGCATTTTGACATGAAACTGTTATTTCTCATCTGAAGTCATAATTGTTCAGTGTGAAAGTAGGCCATGGGAAGGAATAATAATAATAATTTTCCTTTTTGAGATCATGGCAATAATAAGCATAATTTCAAAGCTTCATATAAGCAAGCAGAGCCTTGCTTATCAGCACTCTGACAATACGATCGCTGAGTTGGGAGAGCAGATACAATTAGCTGGTCTTGCAGCCGTTTTGCCTTTCTGACCTGTCCTACTTAACAGTGGCCACCAAGTTAGCTTCTGCCACTTCCACACTGGGGACATTGACACAGAGGGCAAAAGGGAGGTCAGGGGATGCAAGCCAAGAGGTTAATGCCTTTCATTATGAAGCTTTTCAACGTGACTATTTAATTGTGACGTGCTGTTTTTAAAGCAGTTTGTTTTCTTTGAGAAGAATCCATTTCTCTGGGTTGTCAAGAAATAAAAGTATGTTGTTGTTGTTGTTGTTAAGTGATGTTAAAATGATGTTTTCCAATTTATGTTAAAGAAGACACCTAAGATGGTGGGAACTGAAAGGCAGTGACACATGAAAGGGAATAAAAGAACACTGCAAACAGAAGGTCTGGCAACACAGAGGGCTGTGTGGTTGCTCACAGAAGCAGTAAGGACTAGTTGTACTGGGTGAGAAGCTGTTGAATTCAGACTCATCCAATAAAACACATATCCTGCAAAGGAAATGTGGTGCATGAAGTTTAAAAAGCATCATCACCTGCCCTGTGAGGTGGCTCAGCAGGTAAAGATGCTAGCTGCTAAGCCATCACCAGGACCCACCAGGTAACAGGGGGAGAACCTATTTCTGCCTGTTGTCCTTGACCTTCACTTTGGCACACACACTATGGAATGCTTGTGCCTGCACACACAGAGACATGGTAGATAGATAGATAGATAGATAGATAGATAGATAGATAGATAGATAGATAGATAGACAGATAGATGTGATCATTTTTTTAAATGATTATTTTTTAAAAAGATTATTTTTTTAAAAAAATCACTGTCACTAACTCTAATCATAAATGACTCAGAAAAAAAGAAAACATTTAAATTCTTCAAGTTTATAGGTGAAAATGTAACAACTTGTAGAAGGAGGTGGCTGTTTCTCAGAAATGATGAGGAGTGTCGATGTATGTGTATATATATAATTATATAAAGTCACTTGAGTCCATTCTGGAGACCTAATGATAATTTTTATTACCCCACATAAGTGTGAAAGATTTATAGTGGGAATCTGAAACCAAAAGGCATCCAAATTTCTCAATGTGCTAGCTTTATGGAGAATTTCCTTTGTAAAATACCCATTTTTCTATATCTCAAGAAATCATCTCTCCTCTGTTCACATCTTCATATTGATATTCATTCCCCTGACTTGCCCTTCATTGCTTTTCATTTTCTAGTGAGATGATTGGCAGGAATCACCCCCTCATGCCTCTCCAGTCCACTTGTGGGCA